TGGCTGGGCCTTGGTTAAGTTGAGATTAGATTTGTTATATAATATTATTATTTATTTATTTATTTTAGTGATTACTTGTTTAATGTGTTTTTTTTATTTTTTTTATTTTTAATTTTGCTTGTTATACGTTTGCCACATTATTTTCGATTATTTTGAATTTTTATTAAAACATGTATATTACTCGTCCGCGAGAGCGAAGAGTAAATTCCGATATGTAAAATGTATTCCGATATGTATGAGTATATTAAAATTTATATAAAGGAATCGATGTATCTAAGAGCAAAAAAGTGTAGAAGAGAAGAGTAGGTTCATAACGTGACTGCAAACGCTTACATGTCTTATCCTTTTTAAAACAAATTTTTAAATGTCTAAAAATAAATTAGATACATGCGATACATGCGCATAACCTATTTAAAGCTTTTAATATTAATAAATATTGAAGAATTGATAGGAAACTTTATTAAAATAAATTTTTATGCCTAATTAAATAATTATCGTTACATCACTTGATAAGTTGATACAAATTTTGAATTTCATATTAGTAGTAGAAGTATTTAAAAGCGACCTAATTCGTGAATTATGTTTTTCTTCTTCTTGTTTTTCCTCAAAATAAAACATCATCAATAGCAGGCAAACCGAAGATAGGGAAGAGGACTTCTCACTGGGCTTGTGGTAATAATCGTGTACTCTAGCGTATTTTCAAAGGAAAATTAATAAAATAATGATATTAAAACAAAATGGCAACGTGGACGCCCCTTTACATGGAAAAGGTCGGCCGCACGCCGTAGCATAATTAATTCAAATTTCTTTTTTAGAATTATTGAAGTTTTTTGCTTTCTTCTTCTTCTTCTTTTTTTTTTTTTCTGGCTATAATCAATCAGGAAGGATTATAGGATAGACGTTCGACTTGCAAATGGAGACGAATGAATACTTTACCAAGGAATATTGACCTACCTTTTTCTTTTTTGGCCTTAAATTGTTTGGTATAATTGTGAACGACATTTATTATCAGCAGGACCACGTCACTTGCCCCAAACACCTCCCAAAATGACGAGTATATTGGCTAACTGGTTTATAGTGTTTTTCTAAGATCCTTATAGTGCAAGCAAAATATAATTGCATCATTTTTGTTAAAACTAATCCCTTCTACGTGTGACGTGTAGAGTTAAATTTTGTAAAGGCTAAGACGCATGACGCATATGCAGGTAAAAAGTCAGCCAATGCATATGCTTCGATATAGTATAATAAATAAACATTGATACTTGAGAATAATGCGACTTTTTGATCGTACAAATTAGCTGGTAATCTTAATTTACCGTTCGATGAGAAAAGTAATTCGAAATTTATATTAAAAGTGACAAAAAATATGCTTTGTCTTTAATCCTTATAGAAATAAATGAAAATGCATTAAAGAAGAATGCAAAGCCTTATTATGACATAAGGACTGACTGCGCTCTATAAATTCAAATATATTGTCAATGTTCTCATAGTTACATATTTTTGGTTTTGTTGCATTTCATTGCATTTTGCAGTAAGTAATTTTTATAATTTTCAAATGAATTTTTAATATTTAAGAAAATCCGTAACTGAATAACATTTCATATAATGCATTATTGCTATGCTATTATATGTTATATGTATGTTATCAGCTATTGATTTATCGTATATATATATGTATAAATGTATGAATGTGTACAGAGAACTGTTATTGTTCGGGCAAAGATAACTCAATAACTGTTTGTCTATCTTCGAATACAAAACAAATAAATACATAAGATATTTATGTGGACACACAGTGTGATTGACCCATATCTCTCAATTTAATAAATACGATTCAATACAATTCAATTCGGTTCAGTTCAACTGGTTGATTCAACAAATTTAACACTTGCAGACAAACACGCACATTCATGTGTGTATGTGCATATATATAAGCATAGATATGATTATTTGCATACATATGCATACATATATGCGTACTATTTTATTTGGCTGAGTGTCAGTTATTGAAAAGATATCATTCGTTTGTTTCGTTTGTTTGTTTGCTTGATTATTTGTTGATTTGTGTCTTTCTAGTCTGTTTATTGGAATTTTATTTTTCCGTATCAGAGAAATAGAAATTTATTATTGTGATATCCTTACTAGCCAAACATACATGCATATATGCATACATGCCCATACATGCATAGACGATATCAATTTGATTGCGAACGGAATTTATTTTACATTTTATACAATTCATTGTATAAATGTTTACTAAAAAAATATATATACAGGTGTCCATGTGTGTAAACAATAACTGCATTGGTACCGACATATTTCGATTTACAAATTTATTCGATTTATCTCTCTCAAGCTGAAGATTTGAAAGACGATTTCCTTTTGACGTTATTTCTTCGCAATAACACAATATAGATATATTCCGATGGGCATATCTCTCTCACTCTTACTCTCTTACTCTCTTTCTATCTTTCTCGCTTCCTCACCTTGTATATGTGTTTGTCGCATTTCGTAAAGATAAAATGTGAAATTTTTCCAATTTAAAATTATTTCCTTTTTGGTCCTTGAATGAATGCAAAGTTTAATAAAATAAAATAAAATAATTTCCTAAAAATATGCTTACAAAATATTTAATATCTTTTTATCAATACTTTAAATATCTCTTAGAGAAAACTGCGCATGTAAGTTTTAAAATCAACTTTCACCCATAACTTTCAATTCGATACCAAACATACATTTTTAAGGTAATAACGATGAAGTTTAGTTTCTTCTTTTACCCCCAAAAAAAATTTTAATTAAAAATGCTGTGCCATACATATATAACTAGTAAGAAAATTAAATTCGATCGGGACCGAATCTTGTATACCCATCACCCAAGTCAAAGAAAAAAAATTTTCATATTCTATAATTTGGTACGGGCTCAGCTGATTTCTTCCATTTTCAAAATAAACATTTTTAACGTATAGGCACATCGGCGTTGTAGACGCGTCTTTTGAAAAGTTTAGGTCAATTCCAAATTCTTTTGCAAATTTTCAGGCGATATCTTTATTTTCGCTAAAGAATGCTCATCACAACTACTACAAAGTTACGCAAACATCCAGATGGACAGGCGAACCGGTAAACATGTTTAGGTGGATACCAAATTTGAAACTAGCCGAGCATTTATATACTTTATGTAGAGATTTTGAAATTTCTGTTTCTGTATTGGGAAAACAATTAAATTTTGATACACTATATTATTGGATGGGTGTGGTCAATTTTTTCCATTTTTGTATACAGATGCTATAGCGTCGCCCATAGAATACGCTTTCAAATTTTTGCACATTTATTTGCTATGGTTTATGAGTAAAGAGCAAACAAGCAATTTGTTATTCTCAATGAAAAGCAGAGGTGTTCTCAGTGTACGTGGTATTGTAAGTGTGTCCTTAAACCGATTTGGCCCATTTTTAATACCAACTTGCGTGCAAGAAGTTCCACTGTTTTTGCCAAACTTGAAGTCGATAGCTCCATTTTTGCGGCCGGGAGAATGTTTACAACAGACGATCAGAAGGACAGACGGACGTGCTTAAATCAATTTAGAATTTGATGCTGATCGAGATTATACAATATATATAATTTGCGGGGTCGCTGATGCTTCTTTCTGGTCGTTACAAACGTTTTGACAAAATGAATATACTCCTCATCCTTCGATGATGGG